TTCGGGCGCCGGAGCGCCGACGGCAGGAGGACCTCGACCCCTACCTGGTTTGGAGTTTTATTTGATGCATGTCGCATGCGGTGGCACCTCTCTGGCCGCTGCCGAGCTCGTGCTCCCTCCGCTCACCCCCACTTCCTCCCTGGCCTCGGGAGCCCCCACCCCTCGCTCGCCTCTGCTCCAGGGAGTCCTCGCTGGAGTGGAGAACCTGCGTGACCTCGGTGCGCCGCAGGGGGAGCGGGCTCGCGAACTGTGGGCACGTCTGCCGCCAAGCTGCCTTCAGACATCTGTACGTGCACATGTGCATACGACTCCAAAAAGCTACCGCGGGTTCGTGTCGTGTCGACCCCAACGTCGGTTCCTGAAACCGCGGGGACCGTACAACCTTGAACGATCGGCCCATTCCGAAACTTCATATCCTTCAACATCGACCGATTCTGGGTCGCAGGCGGCGTTCAACGTTGAACGCCGGCGGAGGGGTCGCCGGCCGTCGGCATGACGGTAACCTACCATAGCAGGAGCGAGCCCCAAGCAATAGGCTACTGCACCTCGATGTGCGGTCGAGTCTATGTGTTGCGAACTGTGCGGTGCCTTTTTTGGGGTTGTCGCACGGCACCTTGTGTCAGCATTGAACGAGCTCTGTCGCGCAGCCATGCCGTGCGCTTCTGCAGGTTGCTAAATTGGTGGTCACGCCGCTGCAATTCGAGGTCCGCCTGCACAGCTCGAACGCCATCGAAATCGCCCTTCTTTTGGCACCGTGTCAACCGCTGGGTTGCGATTACAATGCTACGGGCTCTGAGGCACCCCTCTGAATCCAAAGCATAGCGCCGCGACTGGTTCCCTTTCAACTTGGCAAGCTCCTCGCGCACGTCCATGTAATTGCTCGCCGTCAAGCTCATGACCAATTCTGCCTGAGTGCGTTTAACACGGAGCCCCGCCTCCAACATATTTTTCAAGACGCCGACACAAGTGCTTTTGCCGTATATCCAAAGTACGTAAGACTTTTGTTTAGGACGGTGATATATGCTAATCGATGGCGCACGAAGCATCCTAATAAGAAACGCTTGTATGGCCAAGAGTACGTGCTGGTGCTTCTGACCGATAGTGAGATGCATCGCTCCTTTTACAGACACATAGACACATCCCTCCGCATCAAAAAAACCGGCCATGTAGTTCCAAACAATCACCCCACGACAAGGTGGAGCAACACGTTTCAGATCCCGCAGCGAAGTGGCCAGCAACAATCGTTCTTCAACACTTTCTGGGGTTCTTGAAGATCCGAGTACGAGTTGCTCTTGCTTGGTCAACGACTTATGTGAAAGCCGCCAGGCTGCGGCACGCGCAGCCGTACCACCAATCTTCCACAACAGCGTTGATTGCGAAAACCCCATCGCCGTCTTTGAAGAATAGATACCGCCACCGAATAGGTTCAGGAACAGGAAGAGAACCTCTGCTTGTTGCGTGCCCTGCTCTACCCTAAGGGTGAGATTACTAAATTTTCGGTCAGAAGAAACACATCCATCCCCATCAAAAAATCCAGCACAATATGCGAGTATGTCCTGAGCAGGCTCTGGAAACACCATCGTGTTCGACCGTGTGCGAATAGGGAGTGGCATCGCTTGTCCATCGGCAACAACACTGTGGGCCGCAGGAAAAGTGAGTCTACGGATGAGCCGCTCATACCGGCTACATCGACGACGCAGGCGGCTCTCATGAATTTGAAAATAAGTCAACTGTTTATCAAATGATATGTTGGAGGTGTATTGTCCTAGCAGAAAACACACCGCCAGACGGTGCCGTGCTTCAGGGGAGGTGACACTCGAAAGCGGGCACGATGCTATTGCAGTTCCACGCGCGATGCGGGCACATGCATCCGCATGAGGTGACGCAAGAGCGACTCTGAAAGATTTCACGAACAGTGCTGAGCATGAGCGTCGCATTTACCAAACTCTACAAACTCGAAGGGTGCACGCATTGCACTGGCGCTCTCTCAACTTGCACCGTTCGATCTAAACAACCTTGAACTAATACGACTAGGATCCAAACGGGTTCGGCCTAAGAAGCGTGAGAAAACATGCTTGAACCAAAATGGCTTGAGCCAAAGGATACGGGTAGCTATGCGGTTCGTTCTGTGCATGGCGCACGGTGAGGGCATTGAGCATGGAACCATTGTATAAGGATTCCAAGGTCTGGTGACCAACATGACGAGGAGGAGGACGAGGAACCATTGAAACAATAATCCAGGGTCTGGAAAGCGGTGGAACTCCAATCGTGGATTGGCCGTGGATACCACCGCCGGCCTCATCAGAAAAGGAACCGCCCAGGATCAGAAGTCTCATGGGCGCCCACGCCGTATACCCTGTGTGATGCCAGCCGTGGGGTGAAGGCTGCGCGGTGCCAGCTGCGCGGTGCAATCCCTGTGGTGCAACCTCACGTGGTGCGAGCCCTGTGGCGCAGCCTGCGTGGCGCAACCTGTGTGGCGCAGGCTGTGTGGCGCGAGCGAACTCTGCGATCGCCCGCGAGGCGCGCAGGGGCGGCCAGGAGCGGCCGCGCACGTCGCGCCCACCGGCGGGCACCAGGCGACAGCCCCAGCAGGCCCCACCCAGCGCACGGGGGCGCCCACGAGGCGCCCTCGGGCGGGCACCGACCAGGGATCCAGGCGAAACCCCAGCAGACCCCTCCCACTGCCGAGACAGCCGAGGTAAGAACCCAAGCACTACTTGGGGAACGAAAACGTGCAACAAACGGCGATGATGAAACCTATCATGGCAGCACTTATGGTTTCTATGACAGCTGCTGCAACTCGAATGCTGAAGCAACTGCTACCAAAGGCGTGTTCGAACTAGACTGCGTACTTGAGCATTTTCCCAGGAAGCTCTGCATCACGCCCCCTCCTCTAACTCATAGCTTCTAAAACCCATGTTATTCCACGAATCTCGATTAACTCCTCCGCGCTCCCATTCGGTCCTGATCGATCATGTGTTCACAAGATCATGCGTTCACAAGTGTTTGACACATTCATGAATACATCCGGATGCGTTCCTGTGGACTACGAAACACTATTCCAAAATATGGCCTCGTATGCTATGGGACTCCCGATCAACCTCTGTTCGTCCGTGTTTTGCCCTCTGAAGTCTGTCCCTTGTGTGTTCGCCGTGCGTCTTCCTATATGTTCCGCCCCCACGCCAGATCCAAATTCACTCGCCGGCTTGCTGGTCTGCGTGCTCGCGGCCCCGCGACGTGCACCAGCCAGGCCTCGCCCGCAGACTTCGCGCTCCCTCACCCCTGGACGGAGCGATTGATTCCTGCACTCTGGAGGTAGGAAAGGGGTACCTATGGTATAAAGGGGTGCGGTGTTGATTTTATGTTTTAAAGGGGAGTATGGCGATGTTATCCCTCGCAGATAGCATCGCCATGCCCACGATTGGCACCATACCCCCTTTATGCCACACCATTGTCCGACCTCCAGATGTATCCGCGGGCCCCCGAGAAAGTCTCGACGCCTTCCCCTCGCGGCCCGCCTCCCGCCCGGGAGCACCTTTCTGCGCCAGCGGCCCGACGGCGGCTCCCCCCCCGCCGCTCGGACGTCCATGCCCTGTGTTTTTGTTCGGTTTCGTGCGTGGCTTTTTCGCAGGATGATCCAGGATGCTCCTTCAGAATCCCCGCCGAGAAACAGTGCACACGTCCGAGCGATACCAAAGGAGGCCAGCCCTGCGGAGAACGCCGAGATTGGAGAGGGGACAGAGAGCGAGAGACAACGTCGGAGGTCTGGGCTCCCGCAAGCTGCCGACAGCAACCTGGGGGCCTGGGCCCTGGACCTCCCCCGAGCCCCTCCCCCGAGGACCCGCCCTCGACCTCCGCATGCTCCTGTCCTGTCGAGGGCTACGCGCAGCGCCCAGGCATGGGCTCCCTCGGACGCGGCGGGGGCGGAGGCAGAACACCGGCAGCCTGGACGCTGGACACCGCCCAAAGTGGGGTCCGAGCACACGGGGGCGGAGGATCGGCGACGCCGATGGCGCAGTCGCAGCGAGGAGAAACCTCCTCCTCCTCCTCCCCCCCCTCCTCCTCCTCCTCCTCCTCCTCCTCCTCCTCCTCCACGGAGGATCGCGCCGATGCGTCGCCGACGCACCGCCGACGCATCGGCGACGCCTCGGCGACGCCTCGGCCTACCGCGGCGCGTCGCCGAGGCGTCAGCGACGCGCGGTGTGACCCGTCCGCTGCATCCGCCTCGAGACCCAGCGGGGGGGGGGGCAAAAAGAACACCGGTGGCGCGCCGCCGTGGGGAACCCACCAGCGTGTCACTGCCATAATATATATATATATATAATTATATATGTATATATAGATAGATAGATAGATAGATAGATAGATAGATAGATAGATAGATAGATAGATAGATAGATAGATAGATAGATAGATAGATAGATAGATACATATATATAGATATACATATACATATACATATATATATACATATATATATATATACATGTGCACATGTATACATATACACATTCTATATATATATATATATATATGTGCGCGCTGACCGGTTCCCGGCGGCGGCGTGCCATTGGTACTCTCTTTTCCTCTCCTTCCGAGCAACGGCCACCTGGAGACCTCGAGATGGGAGGTCGGGTGAGGAAAACTTGCAACATCGCAGAAAGTCACGACCAGAGCCCCAGGCCCCATCTTCCTGCGCGAAGTCTCGAGCCTGTGATGGTCCCAGGGCCAGGCAAACCTGGCGAGAACGCGGGGTGCGAACAAAGTGCAGCTCCTGGCTCCCAGGGGATGCTCTTTTGTGAGAAATGCACTAATCGTGTTGGGAGGAAGGGGCTTGGGAAATGCAGGGCGCGACTGTGTAATCAACGCGACAATGCGGACGATCAGATCATTGCTCCCCATGCCATCCTCCAAGCCCAGGTACTTGTCTTTCTGATTTTGCTCGAGCTGGCGGATGCCCAAGCCCGCTGGCAGGCTCCGCGCTTCCCGCGACGCTGCGCTCAGATGTCCCGCGGGTCGTGGAAGCTCTCGGGCTCCCACAGCGGCGGCGGCCCCCGCGCACCGGCGACGAGGTCCTCCGGCGCCCGGGGCGCTCGACGAGGGGCGACGGACTATCGTACAGTGAAATCTGAGAGTAAGGATGCACGACAAGGATGCAGGGGCCTCGGCAGGCCATGCCGCAATGCCGAAACTTTTCGAGCGGGGCTGGCCATCGAAAGGGGTTGAGGATGGACCGAGGAGGCAAGGATGCAAGGGTACCCTTGGGAAAATTGCCTTGTGCTGCATCTTCGGGGGACCTCGTCTGTCCCGTCGCGCCGCGATCCACGTCGAATCCGTGTCGAACCCGTGTCGAGCGCGTCGAATCCGTGTCGAATCCGTGTCGAGACCGAGCCGAATCCCTGTCGAGCCCACGCCGGATCCGCGCCGAGCCCCCGTCGGAGTACAAGCAAAGACGGCCATCTGCAGGACAGGAAAGGCCCCCCTCGAAGGTGCAAAATGAGGTTACTCCAGTTTTGGTAATAAAAGGGAGGGGGTCTGGACCCTCCAAGACAAGCCATTTCAGACCTCCCCAGTGGGAGAACCCTCCAAAACATCGTCCCCAGACCCCCCAGGCCCTCCAAGATAGCCTGGAAGAGACCCCCCCCGAAATGAGACTGCCATCTGCAGGACAGGAAAGGCCCCCCTCGAAGGTGCAAAATGAGGCTCCCCATCCTTACCATTGGTTTCGACTGCAGGGGAAGGGGGCCCCCGCCGACCTTCTGCTGGTTTCGGCAGGCCATCGAGAAAGGGGTCAAGGATGGACCGAGGAGGCAAAGGATCGGCGGCGAGCCCGGGGGGGGAAGGGAGCATGGGCGGGCCTCCTCAGAGGGCTCGGAAGTCCCCCGGCCTTCTGAGAAGCTTTCGAAGCCCTCCCCGAAGACGCAGAACACCTCTCGGAAGACCAGGTCGCTTCTGAGAAGCCCCCTCTGAGAGGCCTTCTCCCTCTCATTTCCCAACCTCGCTCGCCGCCGAAAGGATGCACGACTAAACATTAAGGTCTTTAGACCACCCCCAACAGTGGAAACTCATTATATCTTTTCGGCGACCTCCTTGACGGACTGGGGCCCAACCCAAAGCGGAAAATAATTATTCACTCGCGGCTACGATTGCGACTACGACGAGGAGGAAGAGGACGAGGAGGAGGACGAGGAGGACGAGGAGGAGCAGGAGGAAGAGAAGGAACGAGTTCCATTCCCCGCCGAAAAGAAAGTGGGGGAGGCAGGGCAAAACTAAAGACCTCTCACGGTTACCCACCCTTGGGGAAGGTGACCCGTCCTTGCCATCGGTTTCGACTTCAAGGGAGGGTGCCCCCGCCGACCTTCCGCTGCGGGCGGGCCCGCCGCCGTCGGTCTCTGCTTCCGCAGGCCTCTTCCGGGGGCGAGGCCTTGCGGCGAGGGCGAGGCCCTCTCCTGGACGGCTCCAGGACGAACAGCGTCCATGTTCGGCATCAGCGTGGTGAACCATGCTTGGCACCATGTACCGGACGACGACGACGACGACGACGACGACAATGCAGAGAAACAGTTTTGGCATCGATGCAGTGACCAGGTCGGTCTGGACCACGGTGTAATGAACCATGTTTGGGAGGCCGAACATATGGCTCACTACATCGAACACAACCCTGACCTGTTCCACCACACCTCTTGCAACTCTGACGCGCGATCGCTGATAATATGAGCATACTCGACCAAGCCCTCTAAACCATATCCGCCACCGTGTCTCGAGGCACGAACTGAAGTGTTCCCCAGGCTTCTAGAGATCTCTGTACTCTGTCCTCAGTGCTTTAACTAGTCGAATTCGGAGTAAGGAACCCACAACCTCAAATCGGCCCCGCGCACTCCAGGCTTCCCCGGTGATTTTTTCCAGAGGCCCGAGCACCCAGACGGGCCAAGAGGGCCCCAAGAAGCACCCAGCGCATGTTTTCCTGCTCGGCGTTTCGACATTGGGCGAAAGGGGGGGGGAGGGGGGGGGATCTGGCTCCAGACCTCTGCTTAGCGCGACTGTTTGTAACAGTGCCTTATGGGGAAATCTTGTGGGGGAATCCTGTGGGGGGAATCCCATGGGGCGATCCCATTACGGGCCCCTGGGGACATCCTATGCGGGGGGGACTTCTGGGGGGATCCTACGGGGGAATCCGGATCCAATTACAATCCACTTGGAATCCGATTGGACTCTCCGGGATTTGCAGTTCCAGAGGAGCCCGCAACAACTGGCTACCCCCAGGAGTATGCTTTTCTACAACGCAACCGGCGCCCTGGAGCCCCTTTCTTATTTTCCCCGAAAGCACATTGCACAGCTGCGCGAAACAACGAGTCGCGGGTCCACCAAGAGCGGGGGGGGGGATGGAGGACGGGGCCCCCGTGCTCTCTCCACCTGCTTGGCTCGAAACAAGCGCCCCAAACTGCCAATATCTACCCCATGGGGTGGGGGGGGCGGGCGAGTCCCCGCGCCGATTGGCAAAACATGATTGAGAAAACGGTCATCATCAGACATACCTGTACACATGTATATGTTTACACACGCACTTTTCCTCCGCGGCAACGAACCTTAGGAACAAAATGCACCCGCACACGCAAACGCACACGCACACACAGGTTACAAATGCCACACAGCACGCAGCACGCACACTCACACGCATTCGCAAACGCAAGCAAGGCAATCTACAGCCAGGAGAGTTGCCAAACAAACTTATTGGCCGAATCTTCTTTGCGCAAGAGCAGGGGACTCAGGGGACAGAAACTGGGCAACTGAAAAAACAACAGGCCAAGACTAATCTAACACACTTCTTAGTGATCGGCGCTAGCGTATGTCATGCCGTGCTCTATTTACACCCGCACGCTGCACACTCATCGTAAGTGGTGCATGCGCCCAGCCCGCCTGGCTCGCAGTCTTCAGGAATCGGAAGGAGTCCAAGCAAACCAAGCGCGAAGCGGCAAAACGTCATCGTCGATCGCTGGCTCAATCATTTCCGACATTACCATCGGCCGCTTTACCCATGAGCACCGGGCAGGTGGCTCCTTCTGCAGGAAAAGGGTTCGGAAGCTTGGCTTCTCGAAGACCTCGTTGCGCAGCGGGTGGTCCTGGTCCAGGTTGCAGACCTCAGGGTGCGCCCTCCTCCTCGTTCGAACAGCTCCCCGTCGAGCACCTCCTCCTTCGATCACCTTCGAACGCCTCCTCTACTAGAAAAATCCGCACAAACTTGCCCAACCCCTCTAAACACGAGGCGGCTGTAAACAGGATCGCTCAATACACAATCATGCACTACGACTTCCTTCAACGCTTCGCCAAAGAGGTCTCGTCTGGATCGGTGTGCAAGTCCGCGCCCCTGGACCCCCAGGAGCACGCGAGAGTGGCGACCCTCGCACGGTTAGCACCTCCCAGAGAGACGCGAGAGGTCTCGGCTGGGACTGCGTGCAACTCGACGCCGCTGGACCTTCCAGCGAAAGTCGCGCAAGTGGCAGCCCCGAGGGAGCCGCGAGGTCCCGACTGCGTCTGCGTACAACTCCGATCCGCTGGACCTCCAATGAGCTCCCGAAAGTGGCAACTGTTGAGCAGTTTGCAGCGCCCCCCCAGGGAGCCGCGAGGTCCTGAATGGGTCTGCGTTCAACTCTACTCGGCTGACCTCCCAGGAGATCCCGCAAGCGGTGATGGTTGCGCAGTTGGCATCCCCCCGGGGAGCCTCGAGGTCCCGACTGCGTCTGGGTATAAACCCACTCCGCTGGACCTCCTAAGAGCTTCCGACATCGGCGTTCGGCGGCGGAAATACGCGATTTCCCGTGGAAACTGGTGGGCCTGTTTTCCACCACCACCACCACCATAAGTTGGAGGGGGAGGGGGTCCTCCTCCTCCTCCTCCACCTCCTCCTCCTCCTCCTCCTCCTCCTCCCCCTCCTCCCCCACCTCCTCCTCTTCCTCCTCCTCTTCGTCGTCCTCCTCCTCGTCTCCTCCTCCTCCTTCCCCCTCCAACCTATGGTGGCTGGGGCCTCAGAAACGGGACCCGGCGCTAATCCACGCCCCCTTGATCCATGTCTGCGATCGCCTGGCATTCTTCCCGTGCCCGTCCCACCCGTGCCGCAGAAGGGCCACATGCGAACCCTACCCCTACCCCCCACGATTTCTGAGGGGGAGGGGGGGGGCCTCACTTCGTGCGGGAGCTCCCGAGCGAAGTGAACCCCACCCTTCCTCCTCCTCCTCCCCTCCCCTCCCCTCCTCCTCCTCCTCCTCCCCCTCCTCCTCCACCTCCTCCTCTTCCTCCTCCTCTTCGTCGTCCTCCTCCTCGTCCTCCCCCTCGGCCCCCTAAGGGCGGCGGCGGGGACCCGGAAGGCGAAGCCGGCCTCCGCCAGGTGGGCGTCCCCCGCCTCCAGCGCGGCGCGCAGGAGCTCCGCCCCGCGCGCCCCGCGCCTCGCCCGCGCGCCGCCGCCGTCGGCCGCCGCCGCCGGCGGACGCCGCCGCCGTCGTCGGTCGCCGCCGCCGTCGTGGTCGCCGCCGGTCGTCGGTCGCCGCCGCCGTCGATGTGTCCTCGCCGCCGTCGTGGCCGCCGCCGTCGTCGGTCGCCGCCGCCGTCGGTCGCCGCCGGCGGTCCTCGCCGCCCTCGTCGGTCGCCGCAGCCAGGTGCTGCCGCCGCCGTGGGTCGCTGCCGCCGAAGTCCCCGGGTCTCCGACGATGAGATCGCGTCTTCGTGATGAGGATTCGGCCCTCGAGGGCCGCTCAGATCGGCGGACGCCATGGGTCGTCGTCGTCGTCGTCTTCGTCGCGGTCGTCGTCGTCGTCGTCGTAATCCTTATCCTCATGTTCATCTTGGTGTCTCTTCTCCCCTCATCCCTCATCCCCAACGCTCACTGACACGCGCACTGCCGCGCGTGCGGGGATCAGGATGCAAACGACGGCGTGGAGAGAGAGAGAGAGAAAGAGAGAGAAAGAGAGAGAGAGACAGAAACACACATGCAGAAATAACGAAAGAGAAAGAGAAACAGAGGGAATGAATTATAAAGTTGTACATACGTACATAAATCGTAAATAATAATATACACCTATAGACAAAAAGAAAGCGCAAACACAACAACAATAACGCCGCCCCACACATACACACACAAGCACCCCCCAAACCACCAACGCAACAATGCGAGACATTCACGTATCGTTCTCGTTTCCTCCTTCCTCTTTTACTCCTCCTCCTTCTCCTCCTCCTTTTCCTCACCCTCCCCTCTTTGGAAAACCATCAGGCGATACGACATAAACCAAATAACAGCAACACAACACAACTATGATTCCCACCAGCCCTCTGGGCGTCGGTGGTTTAGGGCGTTTCCTCTTCCACCCCTCCCTCTTCCCCTTCGGGGAGGGGTTTACCCCTCCCCCTACCCCCTCCCCACTGACCTGGACAGGTTTTCCGGGCAGCGGTCAGAGCGTCCAAAACGGCCTCGGCGAGGAAGCCAACATCATTGATTTTACTATGGTTTGGGCCCCATTTTGGCCTTCTGAGAGGGCAGCGCTAATTAGAGCTCCCCTCTTCTTTGATCGATTTCCTCCACGATGGCCGCAAGAGGCCCCCAGGATGCCCCAAGAGGCCGCAGGATGGCCCCAAGAGGCCCCCCAAGAGGCCCCCAGGAGGCCCCCAAGAGACCCCCAAGAGGCCCCAAGAGACCCCCCAGAGGCACCCAAGGTGCTCCCAGAGGCCTCGGCGATAATGTCAAACCATTGTTTGCACTAAGGTTTTAGCCACATGTTGGCCTCTTGGGGGGGGGCACTCATTAAGATGACTCCAAGAGCGCCTCGGAGAGCCCAAAATGACCTCCAAGATGGCTCAAGAAATCCCAAGATGTCTCATACTGGCTTCCTCTGTGTGCTGTCCACTTCCCTGATCGAGGCAATCCCACCAGCCCTCTGGGCGTCGGTGGTTTAAGGCGTTTCCTCTTCCACCCCTCCCTCTTTCCCTTCGGGGAGGGGTTTACCCCTCCCCCTACCCCCTCCCCGTGGACCTGGACGGGGGGGGCCGCGAGCGGTCAGAGCGTCCAAAACGGCCTCGGCGAGGAAGCCAACATCATTGATTTTACTGAAATTTTGGCCCCAGTTTGGCCTCCTGAGGGGGCAAAGATGGCCCCAAGAAGCGCCCAGGAGGCCCCCAAAGGCCCCAAGATGGCCCCAAGAGGCCCCAAGAGGCCCCCAGGAGGCCCCAAAGAGGATCCCAAACGGCCCACAGAGGCCCCCCCCGAGACACCCAAGACGCCGAAAAGCCCCTCAGGACGACCCTCTACTCGCCTGGGCGTCGTTTCTGGACGGGCTGGTGGGGATACGCGAAGCGTCTAGAATTCAGAACAACGTTTCTTCGGGGGGGGACCTGAGGTTCGTCTGAAAATATATGTGTGTTGTTGGGTTTCGTTTTTTGCTTCGGATGGTGCACCAAAGAAGCCCAGTCGGCGCCGTCGCTGTCTCATCGCGCAAGCCCTTCGGAATGGGATGCGTCGACCGCGTGACCGGCAAGAAGACCTACAACGCATGCCAGTTCTGCGATGCGGCGGGTTTGCCGCTGCCCCTTCTGCCTTGCCTCTGTCCCTGCCTCGCTGCCGTCGTGGGCCGTTTTATTCAGCGAGGGCGGCTTGCGGGGTTGATCCTGAATTTGTCTTTTGGGAAAACACGACCGTGGGCCGTGTTCTTCAGCGAGGGCCGCTTGTGGGGCTGAGTCCATTATTTCCCTACCTAGGCTCTGCCTAGAAGGGTTCTTACTCTGAGGCTTAAAGGGGCGGGTAATGGAACCCACCCCGGGCGGTTCCCCCAGGATCCGCCCCGCGGTTCCCCCAGTTGCGCCCCCTGGGTTCACCCAGCTTGACTTAGCTAAGCCTAGCTTCGCTTAGCTTAGCTTAGTTTTGCCTAGCCTAGCTTGGCTTGGCTTGGCTTAGCTTAGCTCAGCTTAGCTTAGCTTATCTCATCTTAGTTTAGCATAGCTTAGCTTAGCTTGGTTTTGCTTAGCTTAGCCTAGCCTAGCTTAGCTTAGCTGACCTTAGCAGGCTTAGCGCAGCGCAACATCGCGCAGCGCAGCCTTAGCACAGCATAACATAACATAGCATAGCATAGCGAATCATTGCATCTCGTAACATCGCTCAGCATATCATAGCATAGCATAGCGCAACATATCATATCATATCATAGTATAGCATTGCTTAGCATAGCACAGCATAACATAGCATGGCATAGCATAGCATACCCTAGCCTAGCCTAGCACAGCAGTGCGCAGCATAGCATAGCATAGCATAGCATAGCATAGCAGAGCAGAGCAGAGCAGAGCATAACATAGCGCAGCACAGCATCCACTATTGTTGCTGCTAATGTTGCTTTCCTAGAGGCTCCAACTCCTAGACAGGGTCGCTCTGGGATATTGTTTTTGAGCAGCAACTTTTGCCTCTCTAATGGATAATGAGGTTCACTGTTCTCCAGGACACCCTGGAACTCTGGTGTCCCTGAGGGTACCCTGAAACGCTGGTGTGCTTCCTTCCAGAAGTGCCTGCGTTTTGGCAATGCGTTGCCTTTGGTGTACCTCTGCGTCGTCGCAGGTTCGCCGTTGCCTCTTCTGCCTTGCGCCCGCACTTGTCCCCGCTAGCTCCGCGTCCCTGTATGCTCGGCACAACGCCAGCGTGCGCGGGTGGGAATGATACCCGTCGTTGTTGTCGTTGCTGTTGGTCCGTTTCACCACCCGTCGATTTTACGGCTTTGTGGAATTCCAAACCGCTGGTTTCTACGCCGTCTGCGCATGGCGCCTCCATGAGGGCACCCTTGGAATTTCATACCATTGTTCACCGCAGAAGACGTGAGATGCGCCCGTTGCTTCTGCGTTGCGGTAGTCTCGCCTTTGCCTCTGGTGCCTTTCGCCGATTTTATGTCAAACCCATGTGGTTAGGTCGCTGGTGGGTCGCAAATGGAACGCGGCTGGGTCGCGGGTGGGTCGCAGGTGGGTCGATGTTGGGTCGCGGGTGTGTCGCGGGTGCGTCGCAGGTGTGTCGCGGGGTGTGTCGCGGGGTGGGTCGCGGGTGGTTCGCGGGTTGGGTCGCGGGTGGGTCGCGGAGTGGGTCGCGGGTGGGTCGCGGGGTGGGTCATGGGTGGGTCGCGGGTGTGTCGCGGGTGGGTCGCGGGTTGGGTCGCGGGTGGGTCGCGGGTTGGGTCGCGGGCGGGTCGCGGGGTGGGTCGCGGGGTGGGTCGCGGGGTTGGTCGCGGGGTGTGTCGCGGGGTGTGTCGCGGGTGGGTCGCGGGTGGGACGACGGCAACAAACAAACAAACAACAACAACAACGCAACAACGCAACAAGCAGAATCCTCACCACGGATTCCCACTTCAGCAATGCACCCAGGGACAATGAATGACCGTTCGACAAACGCATTCTGATTAGGATCCCCCCCCCCAGACTTAACGGCGCTCCTTCGCGGGTTGCAAATTACAAATGATGCTGCACACTCGTCCATCCCAAATATAAAATTACAATCCCAACTAAGCCGGCTTCCTCCCTCCTCATCCTCTGCTAAAAATACCATGCGCGCGCTCGTTTATCAAAAACTACCGGTTTCCAGAAGCCCCTTGCAACAAAGCGGGGCGAAGTGCACGCGCGCGAGTCGTCGCGCGCGAAGGCCGAAATCATTCAAAAACCTTGGATGTCAAAATCGAGTCCCCCGAAAACATGTCAAAACACACGGATTCGCACCAAAAGTGTTAAAAAACCGGCGCTCACGCACGTGAGGACTCTTGAGAAAACATCATCCGATGTTTCATCACATGCTACAAAAATGGCCTTTCGCGCGCGCGTGTCGAAATCGTTCGAACGCTTCTGCGCGCGTGCTGTCGCGAGAACCTCTTGCAACAACTGGGGCGAATTGCGCGCGAGCTTTGTCGCGGGTGCATGCGGCAATCCTTCAACAACCCATGGTTCCGCAGGGATATCAAGATCGAGCACACCGGAAAAATTAAAAACACATGGTTTTGCAACGTCGGTTTTCAAATGCCTGCGCTCGCGCTCTTGCGAGTTCTTGAGAAGACCACAAGTTTTTGTAACGCGTCCACTAAATGCTGCCGAGCGGGCCTCTCGCGCCACATGTCGAAATCATTCGAACGCCCCTGCGCGCGTGCTCGGGGGAGGGGGGGTCGACCCGTGTCAAATAGCCATGCGAGCCACTCTCGCGCGTCGGCCGCGCGCGCATTTTGAACTCTGCCCAAAACCTTCATCACCAATGCGACGACGCCGTCATCGTCGTCGGTGCGATCGGCATCGGAGCCGTCGTTGGCCGTGCTGTCATCACTGTCAACATCGCTACTACCATGATCGCGTCTACCGCTGTCGACGTTGCCGTGGTGACGCGCCCGCCCAAGTCGTCGACTCACACTGACATGCCCGCTGGGCAGCGCCCAGCGGTCAACGCCACCGCGGCCGCGTCGGCCGCGCCAAACTAGCTAGCCGCTTTGCGCGCGAGCAAGCGCGCTAGCGCGGCCGCGCGGCGTTGCGCCAGCCAGCGCCTACCGGTCATCACAATCGCCGCCGCATGGGCTGTGAAAGCCAAATTGCGGGTGGGCGGGTTGGGTGATTGCGCGAGCTATCGAGTTGGCAATTTGGGGGGGGGGAGGCTGCGCGGGATGACCGTTGCAATCGAAAACGACCACGACACCGACGACGATCACGGCGACTGTGGCGCGTCAGTAATCAGCCCGAACAAGGAAACATTTGCCCTAGGTTGTATACGGTTCCATTGGCAACGGCTATACGAAAAACAATTGCTTCGAGGATGCCGCGCAGGGTGGTGCACGCTCTCGTCGGCGGCCTCTGCGATGACCCCCTGGCGCACGTGATGAAAGAATTAGTTTCGCGCCCTGCGGGGTCGATTCATCAGCCTCGGGGGGGGGGGGGCGCATCACTGTTAATCACAAGCTGGCACTTTGGCGAGGGAAGGGCAGGAGCGAGGGACGAGGGAGGGAGCGAGGGACGAGAGAGGGAGAAGGGAGAGCGAGAGACGGAACGGCGCAGTAGAGAGGGGGGAGGAAGAGCAGGAGGAGGATGAGCACCACCGACCACCACCGCCACGACGGGGACGACGACCACGAGCAGCGAATTGACGACGACGCGATGACGACGGCGACGACAAGGCGAGCGCGGCGCGCCGCCAGGCGCCGAAGGCGCGCCCGCGCATCCTGGCCACGGGCTCCTCGGGGGCCGAAATCAAAGAACATGTAATATGGGGCCGAGGCGCCAATGAGGCTTGGAGAAGGATGTGTGTGTGTGGACGACATCCGCGAATGGCGCGACGCAGCTCACCGAGGTCACTCGAACCCCGCAGGGTGGCGCTTGGGTCTACTTTGAGCCAAGCCGACTCGCTGCACACTTGCCACTCACGCCACCCGCGGAGCTCCTGCTTGCAGGAGAGCGTGCCTCTCATCGGCTACACGCCAGGGTGACCCTGGGTAAGAGTGACCTTTGGTGCGCGGCCTTTAGGGGACCGCGGGGGGACCAAGCACGAGTGCGCAAGACGCTCCTGCCGCATCGCGTTCGGCGATCGGGGGGCCCCAGTGGGCCCGCACCGAAGATCACTACAGCGAAAGGTCACTCTTACGCGTAGTCGATCTCAGCACTCCCCCTGCGGCGAGGGGGCGACCGCGGAGGAGCACGAGCCAGAGAGGCGCAGGCTCCTCCCGGAAGCTCTGCTCGAGGAGCAGGGCCAGGACCCGGGCGAACGGGCGCGCCCGCGCGACGCCGCAGCCTCTGGCGCGGCCGGGGGCGGCCGTCGCCCGTCCCCGCCGTGCGCCCACCAAGCTGCTGCCAGACAGTTGAATGTTTGACTGTTTTTTTGTTAAAGAAACCGAGCTCTAAACACCGACGCCTTTGTCTGGCCTCACACTGAGCCTCGCACAGGAAAGCGGATCCTGGTGTACCCGGGATCCTGGTGTATACATTCTTCGTTGTTTCCCAAGGAAAACGGGGAAACAAGTATACACCACACCACCCCGACGTCGCCCCCGACCCTCAAAAAAGTCCTGGAGCTGAAAAACCACTCGCCACTGGTAATGTTTATGCTCCAAATTCCGATTTGTTCGACTGGTTCTGCACAGTCGGGACTTCTGGAGAGCCCGTGCAAAACAACAAAAAACATAACGTCGCATGTCTGGGCTTTGCTCTCCCACGACAATATGATGCAAGCGTTTCTTGGGAACGGCTCCGGCGCTACGACACCTCCTGCACTGCAGCAACTTTGCGAGACTCACGTGTTGTTCCAATACTGTGGGTGGTGATCTGATTGTTTTCTTGGCACTCGTTCAACCATCACCCAATGGCCCACGATGTGAAACAGAAAGCAAAATGACGAGCCAGAAACGGCGCACGAGACTGCGGCAAGAGCGCACGCGCGAGAGGTGGAGGGAGAACAGGCAGGGAATACGGCGGATGGCACGCAAGAAGCAGCAGAGAACCAAATGCTAACCCCAGGAAGCTAACAATAACAGCGCTGGCGATATTGTCACCACCAACAGCAAAATCAATTATCTTGCTTCGAACGATCCCCACTAGAGCCTTCGATGTCAGCTCCCGACGGCGCGCGCGTGCCTTCTGGAACGACGCCTTCTGCTATGTTCGACTAGGCTGTATGCAATTATATGATACTTGTTCTTGTAGTTCCAAGTACGCAGTATTTGCATGTTCCTGCTAGCTCTGTTATGCCATGTTACTGTATACTGTGGTCTCCCCGCTTTTGTTCGAAACCTATCAAACAATTGTGTCCGCAGTCGTCTCTATTATGTGATGCGCTACTCTCTCATGTACTTAGCAGTGGTGTTAGTAGCAGCGTTCGTCGTAGTAGTAGTAGTAGTAGCAGCAGTAGTAGTAGTAGCAGTAGTAGTAATACTAATCGTCGTAGTAGTAATAGTCGTCGAAAAAATGGTAGTAGTAGCCGTAGCCGTAGTCGTAATCATAGCCGCAGCAATAGTAGTAACAATAGTAGTAGTCGTCGTCGTCATCGTCGTCGTAGTCGTAGCCGTAGTCGTAGCAGTAGTAATGAGAGCAATCGTGGTAGTAGTAGTGGTTGTAGTTCTAGTAGCTGTAATCGTAATTGAAATAGCCTGACACCGTCGGGGCGCCTGTCACGTTTGATACATCGACCAATCGGTCGCTGCTCCGCCTGTTTGGGCTGTTGGCAAACCCGACATCGGCGCGAACGGCGCGTTTGAAAATTCTGAAGTACGGTAGATTACGTCATGAAGATCCTCTTCACTTCTGGATTTTGTTGTTCTAAAATGTGCTTCTTCTGATTTCTGGCACCGTGCTATGACATGGTATGTCCTGTCAAGTAATGTCATGCCATACTTCGTGCAACGATTCTGTCTTAGTTATGCCGGCACCATTACACTATAGTATGACCTTCTCTTGCACGACATAACTCTTCGATCCAGGTACAGTATATGGTTATGTGATGCTGGCTACGGCGTGCCCTATCCATTATACTATGCCATGCTCTGCTATGTCATGGTATCCCTCTGCTGTATGCTGAAACCTGCAGCGAGTTAGTAATTCGATGCCGGCATGGCAACAACCATAATACACAAAACTGGTACGCTCTGTTATGGCCTGTCATGGCATACCCTGCTATGCTCACCTATGTCATGTTATGATACGCTCGGCGCTGCAGTTTGTGTTGCGGTGTTCTGTCGTGGCATGGTATGTTACGCCCTACTGTGTTTTGCGATGCAATACTATGATATACCGCGATATGTTATGGTTTGGGGTGCCGCCGTATGGAGTAATGCGTAGCGGTGCAATGGTATGATATGGTATGTCATTGTGTGCCGTGGTACGTGCTGTTACACTATGGTCTGTTCTGCGCTGTTATTTGTTGGCATGGTGTTCGGTATTATGTTATGATGCGGATACTCCGTTACGTCGTTGCATGCGTTGTTGTGATGTGTCATGGCATGATCTGTTCTGACGTGCTATGGTGTCTCATGAGTTGTTGCATGATGGTGGTCGGTTATGAAGCGATGTGGTATGACACAAGATGTCAGGCCGCGCCCTGCCAAGGCATACTTTGCAAATGCAATGGGGTCATATGTGCTGTGATGCTCTGCTATGCTATGCGTTGGTCTTACTTGGCCTAGTATACTATCCTATAGTATGGCATGGTATGGTCTGCCATGCACTGGTATGAAGTGTGGTGCTATGCTATGGTATGTGTATTCAGTTCTGTCATAACTCAAAGTGGTATGCTCTGCTTTGTTCTGCAATATGGAAAACAACGATGTGCCGCGATTTGTCATGATAACCATGGTTATGTCATGGACTGTTCCGTGCGGTGACGCTGCTGGCATGGACTAAATTGGTCTGCCTTGGTATGGTACGTGATGTTATGGTATATCATCGTATGCTATGTTGTGCCCTCTGTGGTTTAACAACATGTGGTGTTACGATCAGTTATGCACGCTCCTCTCTGCCATTGCGTGCGCTGGCACGCCGTCTTATGATATTATGTGTTCTGCAATGTTCTGCTACGCTGTGATATGTCATGTGTTGATGTGTTCCCGTATGCTATGTCTTGTTATGCTATGCTTGCTTTGTCATGCCGTGGGACGATCTGTGCTGTGATGCTGTGCTACGGTATGCTCAGTCCTGTCATTGTGTGCAACGGTATGATATGCAATGCCACCATATGGTATGGTATGTTAAACGATGTGTTATTCTGTGATACGGCAGTATGACCTGCTCTGTATAGCATGTATTGTTATTGGTTACGGACTTACGTTATGATGTGTTCGGCTGTTTTATCATACGCTGTGTCGCGATCTGTCATGCTACGGTTTGTCATGTTATGAATGCTCTGTGCTGTAATGCTGTGCTCTGTTATGCTCTGTTTCTGGCCTTGAGATCTGGCGGTCGTCGCGATATGCAGAGTGGGCGGGTCGGCGCGAGGCGGGAAATTCGGGAGATACCAGGTGGGCCTTGAGTTCTGGCGGCCGCCATATGCAGAGTGGGCGGGTCGGCGCGAGGCAGGATACTCGGGGGATGCCCAGTGGACCTGGGGATCTGTCGGCCACAGTATGCAGAGTGGGTGGGTCGGCGCGTGGCGGGATACTCGGGGGATGTTCGGTGGTCCAGGGGATATGGCGGATATGGCGGCCGCGGTATGCGGACTGGGCGGGTCTTGAAATCTGCTAACCCCATCCTGCCGGGCGGGGGATGAATCCATACTTTCGGCAGCGACTTGCCGGCAATACCATTAGCACATAACAAACAATAGACGTAACATGCATAATTCATTTCGTCTCGAGGGATCTCTCAAGAATCACAACGGAATCCCAAAGAACCACAGAGGAATCTACGACATTTGGAGGACGCGGGATCGCAAGAGCATAGGCAGGCCCTATTGCGATCCCAATGCAGACATTGCTGCTTCAGGGAGTCCGATGAGAGAATCCACGGAGAGAAATCGCAAACTAATTCCGCGAACCCCCGGATCGCAGACGAACGGAGATCGTAGACGGTCAAAATCGTAGAGTGTCGCGGCGAACCGTGGTGGAGCAAAACCAGCGGCGCGACACGTTTGTCAGAATTTCCTTGCCGTCAGGCGAAGCCAGCCGATGAAAGCCGCGTCGGTGATTTTCTGTATTGTGCCAGCATCGGCGCTGGCGCTCGGTCTCTTCTGGGAATCTTTTGCTCCAGGGTACGTAATTCACCCACCCCTCTCCCTCATTCCTCCTTTCTCCCCCCCCCTGCCTTTTCCCCCAGTTCTCCCCTCTCCCACCCCACCCCCTCCTTCCTCAGTCCTCTGTGCCTCGTCCGCCCTTCACCCTCCCTCCTCTGCGTCTCCCCTCCTCCTCCCTCTCCTCTTCCCCCGCCCCATTCCGCTCCCGCCTCGTCGCCGTCGTCGCTTCCGCCTCCGCCTCCGCCTCCGCCGCCACCGCCTCCGCCGCCCCCGTCCTCGTCATCCCCAGCCCTCCGGCGTCACGAACAAGCGATCGAGACCCAGTGTTCGGCCCATCTCGGCCCTGGGACCAACACGACGTCCCTGGATGAAGGACCGGTCCCGAGGGAGGGGTCTCAAAAAGTCCAGAGGCATGCGTCGCGAGCAAATGGTGGCGTCGGAGGTCTGGACCCATCCCTCACTCCGCTGCCCCCCGCCTCCCAACAACAAATCCCGCCCAAACCCTGGTGACCACCACCCCCCTGAACCCTCCTCCTGATCCCCGCCCCTCCTCCTCAAACTCCGGGGCACCCCGCTTCGCGGATGGGCATCCTCGCCGGGGACTGCCGGCATCTCGGCGCTACAACCGAGGCGGCCCCCGTCAGCTGGGGCAGGAGGACGAAGAGGAGCGAGGAGAGTGGAGCACGAGTACCAGTGGCACGCTCCAGCACAGTGGGACTTAAGCCCGAAAGACGTACAAACGAAAGGAGTGGAGC